GGTAGGTCGGTAGTAGGTAGGTAGGTAGTGTGTAGTGTGTGTGTGTGTGTAGTGTTAGTGTGTAGTAGTGTAGTGTAGTGTAGTGTGTGTGTGTGTGTGTGTGTGTGTGTGTGTGTGTGTGTGTGTGTGTGTGTGTGTGTGTGTGTGTGTGTGTGTGTGTGTGTGTGTGTGTGTGTGTGTGTGTGTGTGTGTGTGTGTGTGTGTGTGTGTGTGTGTGTGTGTGTGTGTGTGTGTGTGTGTGTGTGTGTGTGTGTGTGTGTGTGTGTGTGTATGCAAGTCTATGTATTTGTGTAGTCGAAGTATGACTTCATCGAAAGCGAGGGTGGATATGCGTCAAAGCATGGTTAAATGATTATAAGTGTGGCTTTACAACATACCTACACTACCGATATATTTTTACAGTATACAATCCATGTGCAGAAGCATATCTTTATATACAACAATTTCCCTCGAGACATCAATTGGCAATGGTACACCATGCGTGGTATGTAGCCCGCCAGGTAATATAGCGCATACACACGCACTTCTTATATAGGAGAACAGATCCATAGTCACACATTCTCCTTGACGCAAACCCGCTTAATCTGTGCACTGTCAATACCACCTTAGATCACATTTTTAGAGATTGCACCCTGCACATCTTATAAACAGAAGACACGCCTTGATACCCCCGTAGATGGCTCTATAAATAGTACACACGCTTTCCCTGGGGCCACCAGTCGACTAATTGGAGCACCACGTGGAAGAGATAGTCGCCTAGATCACATAACGTCTCCACGTCAAACACGTGGGTAGGCATTGTGCACTCCTCCAAACGTGCGCCCGCCAATCCACCGAAGTTCGGCTCTGGAATTTGGTCATGTGTGGTGTGCGCAATAGTCGCGTCGTGGGTGAGCAGGTAGAACCCGCGGAAGGTATACGCGAGGTGTGCGGGGCCCGTAAGTACAGTCCTGTCCATTGGCTGTGGTTAATGGGGACGCGTGGATGCGATTAGGGATAGGTGTTTTGCAGAACAATACAAGGGATGTTATAGGGTGGCGTTTACCCTAAGCCATTTGCAAATGCAGTAAGGATTGTCGAGTACCGTAGTTATCAATGGCACTTTGATTGGATCGCTAAGGCAGGAAATTTAGCTGCATTCCATTTGACAAGAGAAAATTGTCTATAATCTCATACCACCCAGTCTTTGCTATCTGATCGTCAACACTGCCAATATCTTTTCACTCCCAAAAGGAGTATTTTGGCAAAATCTTAAAACTTGATATTCTGAAATGAAATGTCCAAATTGGCGTAGAGAAGTCTACATGTATATATACATTCAACTTGTGAGCCAGACACGACACATAAATTATACATATCCAGTAGTATATCGAGTGCATACCAAGGCCGGCTCTGGAGAGCACTCCAACCGATAGCAACGCAGATGATTGTTGAGACTGTTGTCCAATGCGTGACATCCGCACAACAACCTGCCAGGCGAAGTTTCCATAAACACATCTGAAGCATCTCCAGATGCCAAGGGTAGCCCTGGTTGACATTTAGACGGCTGTACACGTGCTGCTGTGGAAGTGGGCTGTGTATGTAGCGATGTGTGCTGTGTCTGTATGGTAGTGTGCTGTGTGTATGTGGGTGTATGCTCTTGTGTGCTCGTGCGCCTGTCTCTCGCAGGGGTGAGTACTGGGTGCATCTCGCTCGCAGGACGAATGTCCGTCGGCTGATTACGCAAGCAGTCGAAACGAAAGTCCAGTCCCACATCTCTGACTGTGAAATCTAGAGGCTTGGTCCTGTAATGGGTAAAGTATCAGGAGATACAGAACAATACAATACAATACAATAAGTATTGGGAATCGTACGTGAAACAGGGCAGGGAGAGTTGACTAGCAAAGTACTCAAATTATATATTTACTAGAAAAACTTCTAGCAAATACGTGCAAGTATAAGATGTGGCTTCTTAAGGTACAATTACACATATGGCGCAATTTTCCTCGATTTGAAATGTAGCGTAGATATAAAACCGTCAATACATACGGTACATACATACGTGGATATTTATATAAGATACAAATCTATTTTGATGTGTGTGACTGCATAGAAAGTTACGCATATTATGCTTGGATAATCAATAGCTTGTGATTGATTGTTGTTGTACATCTCACAATTTATCTCAATTTATATACACAGAAAGTCGTGAAAGCGTTTTCAAAAAAAACAACAATAAATGTAATCTACTCGTGTAGATACAGGAACGTATCCCACGCATGTTGAAACAAACTGTGTTTCAATCTAATGGTAGAAGTATGCACCGATACGCACCCAGCCAGTTGTATAGTCTAGGTCACCCACTAAAATCGCCATGTACAGGTGAACACGTACGCGTAAATACCACAGTATTATTGTATAAGTATATATGTACACTTCATAGGGTCTACTCATATGCTTGGACATAGACGTATTTCAATACATACGCGCAGTCACACACTACGTACGTCCGCTTGTACTTGTTGATAGACAGTGATCACTCCAATGAGTGCTCATACTTGCAGCAATATTTATTTTGATGGTCGCATTTTTGCGGTGTGTGAATTCTATAGTAGGGCTAGCTCATATGGATTGGTACAACGCTGAGAAATGTGGATAGTGCAATACGTATATGTTCACAAATACAGATAAGTCAGTATGTTCTTGTACGAAATATCAAATATCCGGTCAGACATCTGGACTCTCGGCTTTAACGTTCAACACAGTTAGCCTAAACTTATGTTTTGGACAGTACCCTCATATTTGAAACTTAGTGTATACTCGTATAGTAGTAGACACCACCTATTGCTATCAAAGTTTATTAGAGTACCCATGTGATGTGGGGCATGCATTGTCACTAATCCACACTATCTGTCTAAGAAAGCCACATCCGAACAATGATAAATAGTACACAGCCTGTTTGTCATATCTCCGATACATATACAGAGACGTTACAATCAGGCGAAGTATACGGGTGATCGCATAAAGTCTCTATATTTGAGATAACTTAAGCCATATCTCGTATCAATGTATGTGTACACATTTCTGTCCTACGAAGTACGAATCAGAATAAAGGTCAAACAGTGGTACTAGTAGCTATTTACATTGTTAAGTGGCAGTGCTTCCAGCCGCAGTCAAAGGTGTGTGTTCGAGTCAATGGATTACATTGTCGAAATCGTTATTGACACTAATATCTGCAAATGCATAATCTACTAGTGCTCTGCACGGATCGTGAACAAGTACGATTACACTTGTGTATAGCAGACTCCAACATGAAACTATACAGCCTGTTACGCCAATACACAAGCAACGTATGTCTATGTGTAAACAAACACCGTGTATGCCCATAGGCTAACGTGGATCTCACGATACAACTTCTGTAAACATGCATGTTATGTCACTGTCCCAAGTATTTATAGCATAAAGTGAGCTACTTGTACGCACAATTGTAAATTTGTGGCCACGTAAGACCTATAGCTACATGTAGTACTACACAACAATAACAGCAAGCGAATCCGCACACCAAAATAGTGACTATAGACAAAGCCACGGTTGTAAACATTAGTAAGTACTCCACTTAAAACGAACTGATATGGATACATACGTGTGATCTGATATCTGCTTGCTTTCCTTTGCATTGCAAGACCTTGGATTGGCAAGGTCAGGATCAAGTGATTTGTAGGTGTGTTTTAAAGTATATTATGCAACAATACGCAAACATCTGCTTAACTTGTGGGAGTACACGCTGTGTACCTTTGTTAATTACAAGATACGAGCATATACTGATTCAAGTATTGCCTCACTGCTGATAGAAGAACAACTTAGCACCTTCTTCTCATGCTCGTATGTGTGTGCAGAAGTGCGTTGCATATTCACAAGCACACGAGGAAGTATACGATGAGTGAGTGTACAAGCGCCTAGAAAGCACTGCATACTTCTAACTCTTAGATAAGTGTGGAACTATTTAGTTTGTAAAAGTCACTAGCGGATAATAAAATACCCATCGCATTCTGCCAGAGAGAAGTGTGCTTCACTGTTTTAGTATGAAATATTGCCTGCTCTACACCCCTCCCCTGTGTGTATATGTATAGGGTCCGCCCATGTTGGAATTGCGTATCAGTTACATACAACTATTGGACCCTTCAGGCATGTGGAAACGCACACTGAAGAACCCGGCGAGCATTACTGTCTGCTGGATTACAAGTAGAATTTCACGGTAAACTTGTAGCTTAAGGTCTTCGGCAGCCTGACAGTCACACACCTGTAGTGGTGCTGTAGTAAAGATGTGCTGAGTATACTGTTACCAGCCAAACACATCTGTCTGAATCTCTGACGTTCTGTGCAGTCTGCCTCAGTACGTATTTCCATGGTTACAATTCTGCTGCCACAAAGCGACCGTGTGCCTAGGTGTGTTGTACGGTCTAAGTGTGGACGGGATCCTTGCCTGCTACGGTACTTGCATCAGCCATGTAGTGGTGAGGATCGCTTGTTGTTCTGAGACAGTATCTATATTTCTGCTGACAGTACGATAGAACATGCACTATATCTGTCTAAATACAATTTACAGTCCTACGCACGATAGTACCTACACGTTAGTACTTACAGCCCTACACACGATAGTACCTACAGCCCTACACATGATAATACCTATACGTTAGTACCTACAGCCCTACACACGTTAGTACCTACAGCCATAAACACGATATTACCTACAGGCCTACACACGATAGTATTTCCGTATAGCCCTACACACGATAGTAGACAGTATATTATATACATAGTAAATATGAATGAACAAGGATGAAGCCAGTGACTACTACAGTGAATGAAAGATCACAAATTCACAATTCACATTTCACAGAGGCGACGGAGTTGGAACTTGGACGAGCGGCGGGACCTTCTGATGAGCACCGCAGGAGCCCGCCAAAAAAGATACAAATATGGCGTGCATGGGTCCTAGCCATGAACTTCCTGAGGCCTGACCTTTCCTGAAGGCTGAACGCCTAACGGCCGAAGGCCTGGAGCTCTGGCCCTAAAAATTCGGAACGTCAAAATGAAAAAATTGCCCATCAGGGAATCGAACCCTGCCCTCTTGCGTGAAAAGCAAATATCCTAGCCGATAGACGAATGGGCGATGAAATAGAATTAATATTTATGTATCCATCAAACAGATTAAAATGTATCACAATCAATAGTAAATATTCTCTCACCGGACTTTTACGTGAAACTATTTGTGCTATACTTATTTTTATGGTATTGAAAAGTACCTGTTTCGCCGACACTCGATAGACAAGTATTGTAAACCACATTCAGTTTTAACAAAGTTCTCGCAGTATCTTGGATTTTCACGGGAAGGGAGGTGCAATTTCTTCGTATCGATGAATATGTAGTTTGCTACTAACCTAAACGATAACGAGGAAGTTCCTGTACCTGACGCAAATATTGCATCTGTAATTCGAACTTACCACAATTTTCTCCGTCAGGTATGCTCGTGGACTCTATGTGAATGTAAATCTGGATAATACTACTTTCGTTAATTTAAATATAGTGTACAAATTAACTCAAGCTTGTAGACTGGCTCACGTCCATGTATATGTTCGGGGTCTGGGGCTAGATTTTAGGGTTTTAGGAAAGGGGGGAGGGGGAGGGGGGTGGAGAGGGTTAACTATGTACTGGTGTTTAGATATAAAAGTAGTTGAAAAGTGATTTAATGCATTGTAGCCACTTCGATAACAGTCGTATCATTAACATTATAACAGTGTATGTAGTTATTTGCAAATGCTGACTGTAATTTTGCTCGACGCTCACATATCCGAAGCCATAATAAGTCACATTCTAAAACACGCTCCACGATGTAGATATCTGACAACTTGCCGTGATATGAGCTATCAACTGAAAACCTTAATCATCGTGACAACCCGATCAAAACGCATGTATCGGACTTCTACTTCATTGTTCGTTATGTCGATATTTATTGACTATTCGATCCGCGACATATCACTCTGTATTATTCTACATCTGTACAGTTTAACTTTGAAACTTTTTATGTTGTTATATACAATTCCCATCTTTCAAATAACCAGTTAGGATACCGCACGTCCGCAATCCTGCCGTGTTATTTGTAGTAAAAACACGTCAAGAACTATATCTCACCGTACTCCCCTTCCCAGAAGTTAGCCGTTGCAATATTGTTTAAAGAATGTTTTTGTTCATGAAACTGAGTGCTCCTTTGATAATAAACTGATCAAATAAAAACCGGAATTTAGTTCATAAATTATCTCAAATAAACCTAAAATGTAACCCTATCCGTATATTCCTGACCACATATCCCGTCCCCCCCCCCCCCCCACCTATATATATATAAACTCTTCAAGATTCCGGGACACTATTTGAACATCCACGAACACGAGGGATCCGCTGGCTTTTACCCTCGGAGAGCTAGATCATTCGCTGGCATTTATTCTCATGAAGATAGAGAGCTCAATTGGCTATATCCTGCGAGCATGGTACCGTAATGATGGATACGTGAGTAGAAATCTATTATGTTTCTATTGCGGCTCGATGCCATTTACGATTACAAGTCTGAGTCCTTATGATATGCTACCATGTCGTTAACGCCATTGAAGTCTTCCGCTGTTGTACGCGTAGGCTCACCTTCTCGTCATCATACGAGATACACTACCACCCCTGTATCGTCACTGGTACGGTGTTTAATGATATGACGGAATAATTCGTCTCCTTCTTGCCATAAATGATCCGATATGAA